GAAGAGTCCTGTTATAAGGCTCCAAATTTCCACGACTGACTACTAGAAAATGGGATTGTCTATGGGAAAAACAGGACACCTGGTGACTTTACATGGGCAAGTATTCAAATATGGCTGAGTTTGGCAGCCCAAGTCCAGACAGATAGATAGATGTTGCAATGTGCCATCTGCTAGGGCCGGCTCTAGGATTTTTGCCGCCCCAAGCAGAAACAATTTTGGCCGCCCCCCCGGTTTTTTCTTACCCCACCCCCGGCCCCACCTCAGCTCCACCCCTTCCCAAATCCCCAGCCCTGCCTCCTCCCCCCAGGCTCTCAAACCTAGGAGGGAGAGGGAGAAGCGGCGCGCGCGCCGCGGCCACTCAAAGTCTCCCCCTCCCTCCCAGGCTCTCAAACCTGGGAGGGAGGGTGAGCAGCGGCGTGTGAATCAGCTGTTTCGCGCGCCGCGGCTGCTCAGGATCTCCCCCTCCCTCCCAGGTTTGAGAGCCTGGGAGGGAGGGCGAGCAGTGGCGTGCGAATCAGCTGTTTCGCACGCCATGGCGTGCGAGCGGCAGCAGCGGAGGTGAGCTAGGGCGGCCGGGGCACATTTTTAGGGGCGGCATTCTGGCGCCGGCCATGCCGCCCCTAAAAATGTGCTGCCCCAAGCACCAGCTTGTTTTGCTGGTGCCTAGAGCCGGCCCTGCATCTGCAATCAGGAGCGAGGGGCAACGTAACAGGCACTTACCCGCTCTGAAAAAAAGGAGATGCAGGGAGCAACTGCAGGTTGCAAAATGGCCACCTTAGGGCTACAGTTGCTTGGCTCTGCTGGATTTAAAGGGCCACCTCCCAGAAAGGCTAGAGGGAGGGAAGAGAGTTACCCTGCACTGGACTGAGTTAGTAGGAAGCAGGAAGATGCCAAGGAAGGTGCCCACGGGGAAGGAGCTGCACTGGTACCTGTCATTGCTATCTCACAGTGCCAGAAAGTGGTATCAGGGACAGTGGTTTTTCCCTTGTTGTTTTTACTCAGAGATTAGACGTAAAGGGGAGCCCGGAGTGGGGAAGCTGCTAAAAGCAAAGGTCCCCCTCCTGTTTCAGTTTACTTTAACCCCTGTCGCCTGCTCTCACTGCCGATTCCTTATACCTCACAGCTGGGCAGGGTCTGTCCTACGTGCATTCCAGACAGGAACAGACTTGGGGTTCTCTGTTAGCCTGGTATAGCTAGCCCAGTCTATACGCCGCTATTGCAGCCCCCAGATTCCAGGGTCAGGCAGAGGTCGGGCTGCTCTGACTTCTGCCCATCTGCCCACAGCCTCCAGTGTCCATGACGACAGCCAACAATAGGGGAGCACAGGGGCATCCCAGCCAAAGCCCCTGCCCAGAAGGCTAGGAGGGCAGATGGTTTAGAGCAGGCTCCCCTCCCATTTAGCTGAGATCTAGCCAGGACACACACACACACACACCACTATGAGAGGGGAAGGGGGGGTCTCAATCACCCTGGCTTAGAACCACTCTGCCTGCTTGGTGCTACACCAGGAAATTCCCAGATAGGCCATAGTGCCACTAAGCAGCTGGAACAGAGGCTAGAATCTGGCTTCTTGTGTGCAGGCGTTTCATTCCTTGGCTACACCGTTCACTGCCTCCAACGTACTCACATGAGCCAGGAGCCACAACAGGATGTCCCTGGAAGGTCCTGAGAAAGCAGCAGCATGTGTGGTTTGTGGAAACTTCCTTCTCCTTGGTTTGTAATAGGGATAATAGTGCTGGCCTTAGAGTCTACGCTTCATAAACCTAGCAGCAATTTCTTACCCTGTCTATGCCTCCACCAGGAACATTATACCTTAATTAGATGGGTCTCATCTCACCGCGACAAAAGCATCATTGTTCTGAACAAGTGAGCAGAAGCGTCACTCTGAGCCATCTTCACACATCAGCTCCATGTCTGGCCAAACTTCCTGTTCAATTTATTTTTCTTCTTAGCCACATTGTAGTGAATGTCAATGCTGCTGAATGATGCAGCCTTGACAGCCCTGGAGAGCGAAGCCCCGACGTAGAGACAGGCCCAACCTGAAAACTGGGTGTCTCCCCTCTTTGGAAAAGTTGGGATCCTGATTAAAATTTTGTAGTTGGGCCCAACTCTGTAAGAAACCTAAACCCCAAATCTCAACCTCCCTGAACTGTGGGAAAGTACAGGCCAGAGCTGTACAGCAATCTACCCTGCCAATGCTGACCAGAAGAGACCACTGCTAGGAGTGACAAAGTAGATCAGTCTCCATGTGTCACCATCAGTCCTTGGGCTCCCAGTTGTGTCTGCTCATTAGAGAGGGTGGTTAACTAGCTACTAGAGACCATCTGCTCATTCCACAATGGCAGCATCTTTCTTCGGTCGTTGCAAAGCTGGGTTGGATTTAAACAAGCAAACTGGAGATGAAAGTCTCCATCATCATTCCCTTGCCAATGCCCCGAGCCATCCAATTCTTCCTGCTTTCCTCTTTGTGCAGGACAGGCAGGGCTGTCCATCAAAACAGAACACTACTCTGCAGCCATCTTGTAGTTAATGTTAATTAGTCAGTGCTTAGCCGAGTGTGCGTTGGTTTTGCATCTGGTTGCTCCTGTCAAGTCTATTCCCCCCAATCTATTTGATTAATGTTACAAGCCTGATTCCGATCTCAGTTACAGCAATGTAAATCAGGAGTAATTCCATTGTACCAAGGGAGGAGAAACTGGCTCTGGTGGTCAGTGTTGTAGGGTGGCTATTAGAAGTGCCTGATGCCCTGTGAAATGCTACTGATGTGATTCATAGGCATCCTCCATTTCTCACAGGTTATTATAGTGTCCATTGTAATAGCACTGACCATAATAATCCACTTACTGGGTATTGCTGGAACTGCTAGATACTTCTGTGGGAGTCCTACTGCTGAGTGCCAATCTCAGTGCACAGGTGTAACCTTGGAGGAAGTCTATGAACATTAAGGGACTTACTCTGGCTGTATAGTGATGTAACTGTGAGTATAATGAGTGCCTAGGCCCAGATTCACAAAAGTGTTAAGGAACCACCACCGATTTCAATAAACTTTTATTTTATTGATATAAAGTGAGCTTCTGCTCACTTGTTCAGAACAATGATGCTTTTGTCACGGTGAGATGAGACCCATCTAATTAAGGTATAATGTTCCTGGTGGAGGCATAGACAAGATAAGAAATTGCTGCTAGGTTTATGAAGCGTAGACTCTAAGGCCAGCACCATTATCCCTATTACAAAAACTTTGTGCATATGGGCCTAGTGTCCAAACCTGAGTTTGGTGCCTCGTGGTTCTTTACTTTTCCTGTAGCCTTATGTCTCTAACCACTACAGGAATAGAAGGAGCATGGGGGATGCAACTCCCAGGTTTGCTGTAGGGATTTGAGTTGCAGGTGGAATGCAGAAAATCAAGCTCACATTTAAGCCTTGAAATACGTTTTCATTTCAGCTTGTAGCAGTAGTTACATGGACTCAACCGTCATCATTTTTTCCCATTGTAACACTTGTGAAAGGACCAACATGTTGCAAGATGATCTCCGTGGGCCCAGTTTCTTTTCCCAATGCAAAATAGTGAGATTCCACAGCAGAGCTCGGACTGTAGTAACCTGGGGGCTGGGTGGAGCTTTGGCTGAATCAAGCACTATTGGTGCTTAGGGCAGGTCTACATGTAAAAAGCTGCACTGTAGCGCTTTTAGTGAAGCGTAGTTAACCCATCTCCCCCAGAGGCGGTAGTTCTGTTGACAGGGGAAGCCCTCTGTCTACACCAGGGGTTAGGTGGGCAGGTCTGCATCGCTCGGGGGTGTGGATTTTTCATACCCCCGAGTGATGTAGTTATGCCAATGTCGGTTTGTAGTGTAGACCTGGCCTTCGTTTTCCATGTTTGTACCAATGCGCGCTGATTAGCAGTTCCCATGAAATCACTGTCCCTGACCCCGCTGTCCCTACCACTGGTGTCAATTAGGAGTGACTCCATTAAACTTAGTGTGGTACAAAGCAGGTGTGAGCACCAACTTTCTGATACTTTTCCTCTCGCACCATCTCTTTGTTTGTTCTCCCCCATTGAGAATGTGACTCCCAGTTGGAGATACAAATATCAGAGCTTCCAAGATATTTTCAGTGCATTAATCTTTGATGTGACCAGCAAAATAAGAACAAACATCAGGTTGGGCCCTTTTGGGTGTCTTTGCAAAGGATAATGGCGGCCTTGAAGCTTGGCTAGTTTGTTCGCTTTTTAATTTTTCTGCTTATTTTTCACCTCAGAAATATCAGGACCATCAAGTCTCATCTTCCCTAGGTTTTCTGGAAGTCTCCTGGTGATGCAGAGAACTGGAGTGGGAACTTCCATGAAAGGGCTGTAGAATACTGAATCTTTAAGAGGGAGGCTCATTCCTCCCAGCTGTTCACTCAGGTGTTTGAGTTAAATAAGTGTTTAAAAACAAGAACAACGAGCAAGATCTTCAGCTAGTGTAAATAAGTCAATGGAGCTAGCCAATTTACACTAGCTGAGGATCTGACCCAAAGAGTTTTGAAACCCCTTTTCTTCTCAGTTGCTCATGTTTCACTTGCAGTGTTATTATCCCATTAGCTCTCCAGCTATCTATAGACTCTTCTGGGGAAAAAGAGAGTGGGTAGATGAGACCTGATTTTCTAATGTGAACTACAAGCAGTACAAAATGCCTTCTTCATGTATCACAACCCCATCTTTTCCCCTTTATCCCTTTAAGGGATAATACACCAACCCCTCTCCCAGCCCTTTTCTTCCAGATCTCCCTAGAGCAGTGGTTCTCAACCTGTCGCTTGCGACCCAATCAGCACACAGCTGCGGCCCATGTGACATCCTCAGGGCCATACCGGTAGTATATATGTTGTGTGGATGCACATAACACAGAGAGCTGCATATGCAGCCCACAATGGTAAATAGGTTGAGAACCACTGCCCAAGAGCGTGCTCATGCCTGCAAGCCCTCTGACGGGATTCTCTTTCTTTTCCTGTTTGTCTGCCCGCAGGCCCTAACACTTATGAGGATGCAGCGGCATATATCCAAGCACAATTTGAAAGCAAAAACCGCTCCCCCAACAAGGAGATTTACTGTCACATGACTTGTGCGACGGACACGAACAACATCCAGGTGGTCTTCGACGCTGTCACCGATATCATCATTGCCAACAACCTCCGAGGCTGTGGCTTGTACTGACACCTTCTCGTCCTGTATAGCAAAGCAACTCCTTTGGTATGATCACGGCGTGAGGAAAAAATTTTAAAAAAAGAAAAAAAAGCGCAAAACAAAACAAAAACCGAATCAAACGACAAAAAACAAAATCATTATACTAATAATGCAAGCTGGTAAATAAAAAGGCATAATGACAAATTATATATATATAAATATATATATATATATATTAAAAAAAAACCACAACAACAATCTTTTTAGTTTGTCTCAAAGAGCTGTGGACAGAACTGATTTCTCTGACAGGCTTCAGCCCTCCTTGGTATTGTCACTAGTCATAGAAATCAAATCAATTAAATAAGCCAAGAAAAATTACGCTGACGTTTGCTAAATGGTCTGCCCGCATTTTGAACCTAAGGTATCCTATGAGTTTTTAAAGGGATTGTTTTCTTAAAACAAAGAGCGGTAATGTTATTTTTTGAACTCTTCTTTGTGGGGAGGGGCTTCAGGGGTAGAGGGGAAGGGGAATTTTTTTTTCTTCTTTCTTTCTCCCCATTCCAGTTTCTTGGATTTTTTAGGTACTGCTGAAAGTCAGCTGGTGCTGCACTGCAGTCTGGGTCATCTGGGCTGGGCTTTCAGGGCCTCTCGGTTCTGTTCGGCTCTTGTGGGTTTCAAAAACAAACAAACAAAAAAGACAAATAATAATAATAAAAAAAAAAGGGCAAAAAAAACCCAAACCCAAGCCACAATATTTTAGGACTTTTTTTAACCGGGACGCAGCAGGAAAGCATCCTTTATGTAACAAGCTCTTCACTTGTGGAATGTAACTTCCTCCCAAGTTAAAGCACAAGATGGGGAGCTTCGGGCTTTTTACCAGCGCGGGTTCTGTGAGAAAGAGGAGGGCCCCTAGTGGCAGTCACACCCCAACACACACACACACACACACGGGGGGGAGGGATGTATTTGCCCATCAAATTCGACCCGTATGTCAGTGCCAACCTCACTTTCAGGTGGGCTTTGGGCAGGGGAGGGGAGATGCAATTTATTTTCCAACAGGGTTAGGGACATTAACCATTGTGATACTGTTTTACTTGGCAGTGAGGGATTCCCCCTATGATTTAATTGATTTCTTGATTGATTTTTAATGTATTCAAGCCTGGGCTCCCTTCTCTCTCTCTCTCCAGACCACTTCACCGACTCTCCTGTTGGCGTTCTCCTTACTGGTAGCATGACCTTTTGGCCTTTTGCATAAGACACAGCCTTCCTTACTGGGTCAATGTATAATGTTCTGAACATGGAATGATGGCTGTGTGTTTCCGTAGACTGCTGTAGATCTGGTTTTAGCTGAGTCTTTACATTTAGAAGCTAAAAGATTAAAAAAGAAGAAAAAAAAAAGAAAAATGAAAAAAACGTTTTTTTCATGTGCTTTGTCGCTAAAAAAAAAAAAAAGAAAGAAAAAAAAAAGGAGAAAATATTCCTTTCCTGTTTCCCCTTCCCCCCTTTATTTAAAAAAAGAAAAGAAAAATCTTTTGCAACCGTGCTAAGAGGTATTCTCCTCTTCTCCATTCCTCATTTTAACAGGAATGAATTTGCGTTGGTTTTCATTTAATTTCCCTTTTTGTGTTTATTTGTGCCCTGCCTCTTTAAAAAGAGAAAAGCGGGGGGGGGGGGTCTTTATTAGCCTGGAGTGATAAGACTACAATGCAAGACCATGACTGTGGGTCAGGTAGCCAGCAGGGGATGTCTTTCTGCTTTATATTTATTTATTCTTTTTCCCTAGTTTAAGAACGACTCTTTGTTCTGAACTGTCTCTTTCACGCTCCAGGTTTGTATCAGAAAAGCACAGCAGTCACTGGCCTGTAGCGGCCACATTATCCAGAGATTTTCCCTCTCTTGACTTTTTTGCTCTGAAGAATACTGTGTATTACATACAGATAGGCGTCCTCTTCTTTCTTTTATTGGTTTGGGGGTTGGTTTGGGGGACCTTACAGGGATTATTTTTGTTTGGGTTTTTGTTTTGTTCTGATTTATTTTTTTAACTCTTTCCAGTGAATGCTTTTTTTGTGCTGCTTTTTTCCTCCTCTGATCCTTCCTTTTAGTGAATGGTGTGTTTTCTCTCTCTCTCTCTCTCTCTCTCTCATGTGGGGATGTTTGTGCTGCAAAAACAAACAAACAAAAAAAACCCAAAAAATACAAAAAAAAAAAAATACAAAAAACCCAAAAACAAAAAAAGAAAGAAAATGTTTAAAACGTTTAACTAACACACACACACACACACACACACAAAATCACAAAAAAAATTAAAAAAAAAACAAAATCAAATGTAGTGTTTACATTAAAGCCACCATTTTCATGACCAATCCTTCGTCGTTTCTACTTTGATTCGTAATCAGACATCGTCACAGTTTCACTTTTCAGAGTTACCTTTGCTGAAGAAAACCAGTCACACCTGTTTAAAATAAAATGAATAAATAAAGAGGAAACTAAATATATATATATATAAAGCGCCAGGTCTTTCTAAGCCTTTCTATTACCAATCAGTGAGGTTTCTGTGATATATTAGACACTGCCAATCTCTTTCTCTGACTAATGGAAAATTCATGTGTAGCTCAATAAAGAGAATGTTTGTCTGTAATCCTGGTCTTTCACCTTCTGGTTTTCAGACTACAGTTATTTTATTATTATTTTTCTTTAATTAAGGGGGGGGGAAGAAAAGAAAAAAGAACACGGTGGTGCCAATTCAGATAGTTCTTGGGGATGTGGGGGAAGGGGACAAATTCTGGTCCCTACCCCCCGCTCCCACTCCCAGCAGAGACCCAGTTCCGGTCCCAAGTAAGTCATCCCATTCCCCTCCCCCCACACACACACACACAGAGAAACCCGGGGTCTTCCACCATCCAGGAACAGACTCTCCGTGTGGCAGGTTGCAAGGCCACTCACTGAAACTTGGCTCAGTCGCCCCTCCATCGGTATGGCAGGACAGCTGCATCCAATTTCAGCAGCCATGCTTTGGATCTCCCTGGCAGCAGCAGTACGGATTTAGTGCGGGACCACTGCTTAAAAGTAGTCCGGCCATGCCACTCACCCACCCACACCCCCCTTGGCTCTGTGGCGTATGGAACTTTGAGCCAGTGTAAAAACCCAGGGGAGGGGGCACATGCCCTCCAGCCCCTTCCGAATTGGCACCACTTCAAATGATTGCACCTTTTGTGTTGTTGCAAAAAGCTATCGAAGGACATTGGAGCCAGATTTTTTTAGGTAAACCTCAGCTCCCATTTAGGTCCTGGGATCAGTGGCTAGATTGTGACGAGAACTCAGCCTATTGGATGCTTTTGGAAGTCTGGCCCCAATTGTGAAAGCTGGGCACTAGAACATCTGGGCCCTATGTGGCTCAGGAGATTGGGAATCGCAGGCCTTTTGGCTTTAAGCTAATCGTTCCCAGCCCAAGGCCTGATCTTGCAAGTTATATCGCATATAGACAGCCCCCTGCACATCGCTATTGGCTTCAGCGTGGCTCTGCGCAGGCACAGGGATCTCCCCACACAATACACCTTGCACGATCAATGCCCAGGGCAGAAGCATCTGGAAGTCGTTGCCATCTGATGGTTGCTGGTAGCCTATGTGAAATGGATTGGGTGGGCTTGATTGAGTGTCCCATGAAATACCACCATCAGCGACACTCATTGCAATCTCATTGGCCGTCTTGGGCATGCACAGCAGCCCAGGATGGAATACATAGAATCTGAACTGTCTTCTGCTCCCTCCGGGAGGGCCTCCAGGTCAGGTTTGAGGCACAGTGGCTGGAAAGTGGAGGGAGGAAGCTGTCACTGTCAGCACCGTTGCTGTGCCGGCATGCCGGAGAAAGCGACACCTTGAGTCTCAGAAGGCTGTCAACCACATGCCTTTCAGCAGCATTGAGGTGGGTGGAACATTTTAATGCCCTGTAAAACGGGGGTGTTGATACATACACCTCCTGTGTAAGATGCTTTGAGATCTAGGGCTTAAAAAGCGCTATGGAAAAGCTAGGAATTTATTAGTAATAATAATTAAATTTTAAAAAATAATCACAGAAACTGGATCATCCACTAAAATTTGTTTTTCATCAGAGCTTTTGGTTGTGAAAGGTGCCAGGCTGACAGCCCTGGAGTCACCTATGTGTCCCCTAAGGAAGTAACGTACAGGCCTTTTCCCACCCCAGCCCACCGACATGAGTTGACCTGGAACTGCAGGGCTCAACAAGTGCAGGAGCGATGGCAGTTACAGTCCCAATCCAACAAATGTTCTCCCACATGTGTACCTTGAAGCATCTGGGGACAACTCACGTGCTTAAAGTTAAACACATGGTTAAGTGTTTACACAGCTGGGGTCTAAATATCTATTCTCCCTCAATACTTGGCTTCCGCTCAGACTGGCAATAATGACGGCTGGTGGTGTCAATCATGATGTAGACGCCCATCCACTAGGATCGGTGTTGAGATTCCCAACTTATTTCACATACGGAGAGCTACCAAACAACCACCAGAGGGTTATGACCTAATGTTGCAGCCAGCTTGGGACATATTCAAACTGATGATACAGAGGTGTAAAGCCTAGAGGCTATTTCTCATCCCTTCAGCCAGCCAGTTCCACGCCAAATCCAATTTAAACCCTACATTCCTCTCCACCTAGTTGGACCAATTTCATGTTCCAAAGCAATCTCTTGCCATTTTTTATCATCTCAAACGGCACTCTGACCAGGCAGAAAAGGAAGCCCTGGAATGTCCATTGGTCTCTACTTCACTGTGCAGAAGAAAAGATAACCCCAGCAACAATTTGGTCCCCATGTGAGCCATCATCAAATTACTCACACAGGTGATTCAAAAGAAGAATGGCTGAAAGACACTGGAAATTTTGCACACGAAATACTAAAGACAATTCATTATGACACAGAAATAGAACCCGTAGTAGCAAAGGTGTTTCTCCTGATTCTAGCATTCGAAGGCCTAGACAAGGGAGAAGGGCAACATCAACTAAAGCAGGACAAAAGACAGTAGACAATCTGAACATAAAAGCTCAAAAAACGTTTGGCAGATACTGGCTCAGATTGAAAATTAGAAATAACTGACTACATTTGCATCCCTCTTCTGTTCACCCTCCACAAATATTCTAGCAAATGAGTTCATCAGCAGAAACATCCACTAAAATGTGAATTCTAAGCAAATGTTTAGAGACTATTCACAGAAAGCCAATTTTCAATGCATAAATGCTATTATTTGCATTGGGGACCTGTGATTCCAAGAGTTACGCTCATCCAATCAGGGAACAGAAACAATACTTCATGACCTATATGTCTAGCTACAACTAGCCAGCAAAGTTTGAATCTCAAATGTTGAATTCTCTTAAACCTCCCAGGAATAGTCCAAAACCCAAGAATTTTATTTAGAAATTATTTGTTGAAGAATGGATACATTTATGACACTTGTTAAGCTCCTTGCAGAAAATTTGCAAACAGGAAAAAAGGTGAAATCCATTGAGCAAATTGCTAGCTAGGCATTATTTGCCCACAACCCAGGAGATTGCTGCTGCAGAAATGAAGGTCTTATCCGTTTGTAGGAGTATGATTTTTTGTATGGAACATGCTGCTCTCCCCTGCTGCATAGAAAACGAGGTGAAGTTTCTACCCACCAGACCAACCTTGGTGATGTAAAGGTGTGTATAACTGCAACCTGCTGGCCTTGGGGGAGCTCAGAGGGAAAAAGACAGAAAAATGACTTCATTTTGTTTAAATACCACTTCAACCCAAGCTTTTAGCATACACCTCTACCTCGATATAACGCTGTCCTCGAGAGCCAGGTGAAACCGCGTTATATTGAACTTGCTTTGATCCACCGGAGTGCGCAGCCCCGCCCCCCGGAGTGCTGCTTTACTGCGTTATATCCGAATTCGTGTTATATCGGGTCGCGTTATATCGAAGTAGAGGTGCACTTGGAGTCTGACCTCTTCCAGAAGCGGCACCAGCATCGGAAAAAGAAGATGAAAAGGAATAGTCTTTTTTACCAGAACCCAGAATTTAATAATCAATGCTGAGAGCTCTTCTCGTTTGCTGAATCCAAAGTAAAAATAACCCAATCAGCACAGAGAAATAGGCAAGGGTTACCTCTATAAGCAGGAGTAAAACAGATTAACCAAATGCACATTAATTTTTTCCAGGATAAGCCCTTTCCTTGGCATCCCATTTCAAAAGAACTGCTTCCATTTGGGAAGGCCTGGGTTCATTTTCTATGCCTAGGAGAGGAGCCCATTGGGACAGTGTATGGACTATTCTGCTTTTTAAACACTCTACCTTTCTCTCTTTACCAGATTAGATACAGATTGTTACTAGGAAGCCAACGTTCTGAGGCTCTGTCCGCAAGATCAGGTAG